AAAAAAAAAAAAAACAAGGACAGTGATGGGGGGTGGTGCTAGACTGGGCAGTATGGTCTTGGTCCTTTTCTAAAGGTGGTGGCTAAACAGAGTTCATGAGGGCTGCCTTAGAAATTGAGCTTCCTTGTTTATCGTAGGCTCGAATGTTTGTCATTTCTCCTCATAGCTTAGGAGGAATGACTTCAACCTGATTACCCCTTTGTGGAGGGAAGGATGTCCAAGAGCAATAAACTCCACTAGTTCAGTTACCTGAGAATCCACAACCTTGTATATATACGTGAGGGTGTTCTAAAGTTGCCCCCAGCTGCTCAGAGAAGCAAGAAAGGCAGTTCTCCATGGTCCGTGCTTTACCCACGCCGTAGTGCCATATTGGTTTACTGCTGGGCTGCCCGGCTCTGAGGGAAGCCGCGTTTGTCCCACTTTTACAGGTTAGAAGTAGAAAACTCACTCAGGGACGGATGCCCAGGGTCACATGCCTTGAAGCTGGTCTTATCAGGGCAACTCCCGAGTTCCTTGGTTACAGTGTCCCACCTCCTCAAAACACTGCTCCTCGTTTTTCTCCTTTATTTCCTTTCCCTCTTTAAAGAAGAAGATGCTTCTTAAGACAATTTGGCTTCACAGAGAGTTTGCTGAGAGGAGCGAAGACTGGGGAAACTGGTATTCATGCTGGCCTGGCCCTGGAGGAGTGAGGGCTGGCCTTTTGTTTTTCCCAGACAGGGTAATTTTGTTATCAAACATCTACTCTGACAGTGCATTTCTAACACTGTAGAACGACTTTACAAGTGCCTGGCACACAGCAGACACTCACTCTTTGTTGAATATTGCCAGATGAAGACAAAGCGTGTTTACATATATGCCATGTAATTATCGTAGGGCCACAAGCAGTTATCCTCACGTGACCGGCGCAGGAGGCAAAGCTGAGATCACGGAGACAGTGGGAGCCCCGCTTTGTCAGATGTGAGATTCCAGTCTAGCATCGTACTACAGGGTGTAAAAAATGTGACACCGAGTCTTGATGTCTCATGCAAACCTGGCCTGAGCTGCTTATTCAACCTCTGTAAACCTCTCTAAACCTGGTCCCTGTTGTCCATTCTTCCCACACTAGCCAGAGTTTAGACCGTGTCACTTCCCTGCTTGAAGACCTCCAATGTCATCCCACTGCCCTTGCAATAGAATTCCCAGTCCCCACCACTGCCTGGAAGACCCAGCACGGTCTGGCCCTGGCCTACTCTCCGACCTTGTCTCCTACCCCCTCGTCACCCTTCATTCTTCTCGAGTCACCCTGACCTCCTTTCTGTTCCTTGAACAAGTCAAGCCTGTTCGTGTCCCAGGGCCTTTGCACTGGTTTTCATCTCTGTTTAGATTCTGCTTTTCTCAGTCTGTCACATAGTTGCCGCCCCTGATCTGTTACTGCCCCTCTGTGTTACTCTATCAAATTACCTGTTTCTTTTTTTTTTGAGATAGAGTCTCACTCTGTTGCCCGGCCTAGAGTGCCAAGGTGTCAGCCTAGCTCACAGCAACCTCAGACTCCTGGGCTCAGGCAATCCTCCTGCCTCAGCCTCCTGAGTAGCTGGGATTACAGGCATGCGCCACCATGCCCGGCTAATTTTTTCTATGTATTTTTAGTTGTTTAGCTAATTTCTTTCTATTTTTAGTAGAGACGGGGTCTCACTCTTGCTCAGGCTGGTCTTAAACTCCTGAGCTCAAGTAATGCTCCTGCCTTGGCCTCCCCAAGTGCTAGGATTACAGGTGTGAGCCACTGCGCCCGGCCTTTGTTTTCTTTATAGCATTTGTCAGTATCTGAAATTATTTTCTGTTTACTTGTTATCTCCCCCACCACACACACACTAGAATACAAGTTCCACAAGGATAGGCTGTGTTTGTCTTATGCTGAGATATATGGAATGACAGACAAATGAATAAGTCAACCTTTCCTTTCGTCTTCTGTAAAATGGGAGAGATGTTTTGTAGGAATGTTAGGATCAGGTGAGAGAACCTAAGAACGGTGTGAGTCACGTGGTAGGTAGGTGGGAGGGGTTGCACCTTTCCACTTGCGGTTGCTACGTGGAGACCGACAGACCCTTCATACAGTGCATGCTCGGGGTAAGGCTTGGGGTTTGTGACCACCCTCCAATGGGTCCACAGATGTGCTAGGTAATCCTTGTAAGAGAGGTATTGTTATCCCGTTGGACCATTGGACCCGTGATGGGATTGAAGTCAGGAAAGGCAGCGTTTGCCAAAAATCATATATCTACTGGGACCTAGGAGTGAGACCCCATCGCCAGGACCTTCTAACCAGCCTGGATAAGGCATGCTGCCTGATGAGTGCGGGGAGTGGAACCCTTCTGCTATCCAAGTCACTCTGGAAAGATCTCTCCCATGTCTCTCTCCAGGCCACCTTTATCCTGTGCTCAGCCCTTAAATTCCTCCTTTGATCATCCTTCCTGGCCCTGTTGCTTCTGCTGAAGCCCATGTAGAACCCCCCCTCTTCCCGACCTGCTGGGGTTGGGGGTGGCAGCCAGTACAGGGGAGCTGGGTTTCTCACCTGCTGCCTGTGTGCCCATTGGCCCCTTCCCCGAATGAGGTAGAAGCAGATCATCGCCAGGCCAGTGTCGACAGCGAGGAGGTTGTTGGTGATGTATTCTGATAACCACATCTATGCCACCATGAGCATGCAGATTAAAACCCAGAGCCACTTTTTTTCCCCCTCAGAAGATGCATCCACCTAAGTTTAAAATTAATAGGGTCTTGAAACCCTTTTGGCAAGTTCTGGGTGCACATGGTGGAATTAGGGCCTGGGACGGCACTCAGCTTGAAGGCCACTGTCCTCGTCCTTCAAGCCGCTCTCCCCTCTGCCATGTGTCCCAGCCCCGACCTCATTCTTACTTCTCTCAGTCTTTGTCACCCTGTATAGTGACTTGTCTTACCCACTAGACTGTGAGCTCCTTGCAGGCATGCGGTATGCCTTGTACCTCATTCCCAGACCAGTGTCTGGTGCACAGAGGGACCTGGGGCTGTCAACCGCCTCACCTAGTGCAGGCACAGGCATTGTGAGCGCACAGAAGTGTGAGGCCAGACCCAGA